AAATTTAAAAAGAAAAGAATTACCATATGATTTTTCTGGAAATAATAAATAAATAGCCAAATAAATAAAATCAAGATGTTTAAAAAATCAACTGCACTTCCATTTCTATCAACACAAACAAATCTATAGGACATAATATCAATCAAAAGCCAGACAGAAGAACAAATACTTTTTGGAGGTACTTACATGAAGTATCTAAAATAATCAGACTCATAAACACAGACAGATAGTGGTTGCCAATAGCTAGGGGACAAACCATTGTTGTTATATGGGTATGATAGTTCAACTTTATACTGTGTAAATTCTAGAGATCTGCTATACAACATTGTGCATAAATTTTTTAAAAGATTATTATGAAATTTAAGAGGGTAGTTTTCTTGTTGTGTTCTGCCAAAAAAGAAAAATAAGCAATAAAAATGAAACACTGGTAATATGAGCAATGGGGTCAAGACCATGATGGGGACATCCACTGAAACAGTTTACCTGAGCTAATGGGAGCTCACCAACTCCAGCCAGCCAGTTGGGGAACCAGTAGTATAGGTCAAAATTAGGCCCTCTGAATGTAGGTGACAGTTGGGTGGCTGGGGCAGACTGTGGGGCCACTGATATTGAGACCAGGATCTATCTCTACTGCTTGTACTGGCTTTTTGGAACCCATTCTCTTCAGAGGGATACCATGCTCAGCCTAGATTTAGTGGGAAGGGCCTTGGTCCTTCAACAAAGCAATGTGCTAGAGTTTGTTGATTTCCCATGGGAAGCTTTATTCTCTCTGAGGAGTGGATGGGGGTAGGGTGGTGGGGAAAGTGAAGGGAGTGGGAGGAGGGGAGGGAGTGGGAACTGGGATTGGTATGTAAAATGAGAAAAGATAGTTTCTTAAAAAATAAAAATGAAACACAATGAAGCTTTTTGAGGTGTGGCATCTTGCCTATGGTGATAATATCATGAGTGTTTGCAAATGTCTAAACTCATTAAACTGTTCAAATTCAATATGTGTGTTTTTGTGGAGCAATTATACTTCAATGAAGCTATTTTTTTTAAAGGAAACCATCCTATAGCTATGTTTGCAAACTGAAAGGACACCTTCAGCAGCAAAGGAATTATTAAAAAACAGCCCATATCTAGCTCATGTTCTGCAATGACCCCTTTCAATGTGTGATTTTTTCCAAACACGGAAGCAATTCATTTTGATTTTATAAACATATAATATTTATATAATGTTCACAAAAAGCTAAAGCCATCCTCATATTTCATATTTATGAATCACCATAACACTCATGTTTATCTAGAACTTATGTATATATATTTATGATATACAAGTACCATATATTAATTTTATATATAAAGTATGAAATATAGATCACATTTGTCTTTGTGTCATATACAACAACAGACAATTTAGCAGAATCTTAGTAACAGTACCCAGCATCATGGCTTCAAAAAATTGAGCAAATTCATACACAAAAAGCAGTGTTTTCATGAACAGCTGCTGTATTGTAAGGCTCAATGTTAGCATTCTTAAATTTCTCATGCTATGGCAGGAATTTCCATCTTACATTAAAATATATAATCATAACAAACCATTTTCAAATTTGTCTTTCAAATGGGCCTTAAATTTTAAGTCACTTGAGGACTATACAAGAAATAAAATGCAAGAACTTTTTTTAAAAATTAATTTATTATATGAGGAAACATAAACAATATTTGAGCCAGTGACTCAGAGAAGCACTCCACAAAAGTTCATATCCACAATCTACTGGCTGAGATGTACTGGCACATACGACCATATTAATGTTGTAAGATTGATCTCAAGGAAATGCTGTGTTGTCAAGACAATTGATGCTAATGCTTATTTTCCCATTTACAACATTGAACAGATTACATTCACATTTAATTAATGATTTCAATAAGCCATTTAAGTTGTACTGTACAATCATCTAAAGATGCTGTTACATTCTTTATGAAATATAATATCAAGACAATAAACTTACTTGCCACTAGAAGCAGTTTCTCAGATCCATTGGGTCTTTTTTTCCCTGCCAAGTACTAAGGACTTTGGGCGATTTTTAAAATACTCATTGCATATATTAATTGTGTGTGAGAGAGAGAGGCAGGGGTGGGGGGAGAGAGACAGAGAACCTGTGTGTGAATGCCATGGTGTGCCTGTGGAAATCAGACAACTTGTAAAAATTGTTTCTCTCCTTGCACCATGTAGGTCCCAAGGATGGAACTCAGGGTGTTGGGTTTGGTGGCAAGTACCTTTCCCTGCTGAGCCATTTCACACACTATGTGCACTAAATTTTGTAATCAACTGATGGTAAGAGAGGGCAGTTACAAAGAAGAACAATAACCTATATGTTCACTCAAAACACTGACGTGGATGAAACTACTTACTTCCGTTCAGACAGTAAATAAAAAAACAGAACACAAACAATAGCCTGTTTATTGACTTGAATAATATAATAATTCTTTAAAGGTATTTTGAAAATATTTTAAAAATATTTTTGTATCTATTACTTAATAAAATCTTTCCAACAGGTTAGTGAGGTAAGTTGGACAAGTATATCATCTTAATCTGGTGAGGGAGGAAACTGAGGCATAGAGTAATTAAGTAAACTTGGGACTGTAGTAGGAAAATGCCTATATGCCAAGAGACCGAAATGATATCTAATTTGCTAGAAAAGAAAAATAATTCTTTATAAAGCTTGAGCTGGGTTTTCAGTGACAGTTTATCACTGTTAGTTTTGTTTGAGGTCATTCAAGATGCTTACCAACTGTCTAAAGTAAAGGGGCTTATAATATATTTTAAAATTAAGAATTAAAAATATTTTAAGTCATGTTTCCAAACCAGGCTGGAAAAATACAAGTGTCCTTACCCTTGTCTAATTCTGAACCTCCTAGAAAGTGACAAGCTGGTGGCCGACTCGAGCCTCGGTCACAAGGCATAACCTAAAATTGGGAAAGGGTAGCAGTGCCTCTCCCACCCGTCACTGCGGATCTTCAGGGAAGGTGCTCTTTCACATTCAAGAGGGAAGCCATGTGGCATCTGGAAACATAACGAAGCGATTTGACAAAAAGCATTTGGAAATGCTTAGGAGCAGTCTTCTAATCTCTTGTCATTTTCAACACCTTAAATTATGAAGTAACCAAAACAAGAGTGCTTTACCACCTTAGCTTTGGTTTACCTGTAGTTGTTATATATTTTCAAAGGCAATTTCCCCTGTATTACAGTTTTGTACCTCTGAATATGAAAAGTACAAAGCACAGAGAAATATCTGTTCTATAAAGTATCATTTTGATGATATATGCTAACTTTATCTAGTCCTATTAAAGACAGGAAAAGTGGCACATGGGTCAACAGAAAACAGACAATCTTAAGTTTCATTTTTATATCTTAAAAGTAGTCAAAATGGATGTACTGCCTGTGGATTCTCATAGACTTACACTATAAATACCATGAGAATTACAAACGAGAAAATATACTTCATCAAAGTAAAATGAATGTTCTACAGTGTAGGACCTTAATGATATATGTGCATATAAAATGGTATAAATATTACAGTGTGAATGACATGTCAAAGAATATTTACTGTTTTATGAATCCTCTAGTATAGCAAAATTTTTTTACCAAATTAATTTTCATGTTTATGAAATTATTCACCAATGTGATAAAAAGGGTTAAAAAGCAAATTATTACTAGTATGATAGCCAGATAAATGTGGTCAGAAAAATAAATGTCTGCTCTGTCTCACAGAATCCATAAATGAAGTAAATGTCTGCTCTGTCTCACAGAATCCATAAATGAAGTAAATGTCTGCTCTGTCTCACAGAATCCATAAATGAAGTAAATGTCTGCTCTGTCTCACAGAATCCATAAATGAAGGTATCTTTAAAAAATTCTTAAATTTTGCAACAACTCTCATTTTAAATTGGTGTAAACTTTATAACCATGTCTTTCTAGACATTTCACTGTCCAAATTTTAGTGGTACAAATAACAGCACTGCTTACAGGCATTGTCAGAAGATTAGTGACAATATTCACCCAACTCTTAAAACGGAAACAAATAGCTGCAGATTAAAGAGAAATTACACACAAGAGAAAATGAAGAGCTTATTAAAATTAACTGATAATGATGTCAAGTCAAAATGCATTTCCTGAAGAAGATCTTCCGCTTATCTCACTCCTTCCCATAACTACGGGTGGTAGTGTGGAAAACATTCCTTTCTCTTCAAATCATGAAAACTAAGACATCCTATATACTGGAATTGGGAAAGAAACTTCTATGGGGCTTTCTAGAAACAACAGCAAGTGAACTGAGGTAAGTCTTGTTAAAAATTCCCTGGCAGACGAGAAAAGGGGCAATAGGAATGAAAACTATTATTTTATTCTTTTTAAAATATTAATCTTAGCAAATTCTACTAGAAATTTCCCAGAATTATAGGACAAGACTGACTTATGAGGAGAACTGAGCCTACCTTCTAACCAATGAATATCTTCAGACATTTGGAGAAGTTAACAGTTCTATCTGTATAAACTTCCATCATTTTTGATGTTCTAATAACTGTCCCAGTCCATCCTGATCCCTAATTTCTTCAACATGTGGAATGAAACTCAGCTTTCCTAAATAACTGTACCAATGGATCACAGGGAATAAAGTCCCCAAATCTAGGCATGCCAGAGTGGCTACAGCTGGTTATGTATAAAAAGTCTTAATGAGGTGAAAATGGAATACACTGATAAAACAAACTTAAACAGCTCTCCCTGTAAGTTATGATAGGAATGAGGTTGAAAAATCCCTAGTAACCTATTATGACTATCACGGTGACTTTTGTATAAAGCTATATTCAGTATTAGTAAAGGATCAGGCTACTGAGACAACACTGTAGAAAACAAGCCTTTCTCTTTATTATATCCGATGAATATGACCAGCTCAACTGAAACTTCAGGTATACTGTGTCAATGAAATGGCCAGTAAGGCCTGCAAGAATGTAACAGAGTCAACTGTGAAACAAACTGTGGGGTAGTAGGCTTCCCCCTGCCTTCCATAGCTACCTCGAATCAAAGAGCTCTATAAAAGGCCGTAGCTCACAAGGAATTGGCAGCTAATTCCCTGCCTTATCCCCTGTGTGGGGCTCATTACTTGTATGAAGAATAGTTATTAACCCAGAACACAATATCCCTTTCTTGTAAGACACTTCAGGTTCCATTAAGCAGAGTACAGATCAACAGCACTCCACATCTCAGTGGTCTCAGGACTTAGTCTACTGGTAGAAGGTGTTACATCTTGACCTTGATCTTCATATTGATCTTCATCTTGACCTTGATCTTGATCTGTGGATGACTTTAAGTCCGTGTCTACACTTACTACTGGTTCAGAGGATTTTCTCCTCACACAGGACCAGCAGACACACCTGAGACATGACCTAAAGCTTTCAGAAACACTGGAAGAGAAGAGCTTTTTGCAAGGGTGAAAAAACTTATAGAACACAAGCATGAACAGAATGCCTGTGCAGTATGCAATGAGTAGCTGCAGAATCAACAGAGGCGCACAAACATACATGTATATGTCAGTTTTGAAAAAATACCACAGGAGCAGGAGGACAGAATTCTCAATGAATCTCATCATGTAGTAAATTAGCAGTCGGTACCAATTCTGGGATTTGCTGATGAGGTCAGGACTGTCGATCTTGAGCTGTACAGCTGACCAGCAGAACATGTTGATACCAGCGTAGAGTAAAGTGAGGAAACACAGTACAATGGTGGTACCCACTCTACTCAGGGCCTTCTCAATGTTCTCGGGGAACGGGGAGCCACTGCACCAGAAGAGGATCCAGGGATATAAGAAGAAACTGAAGAAGTTGACAAGTATGACTGCCACCACCCAGATCTTCAGGACAGAGGTAAAGAGGACCAGGACAATGACCCGAGTGGCAATCTCAAAGCTTCTCCAGAGGAAGATACAGACATAGGCCAGGGGTTTGACTTTGACCTCGTACTCATCATACTTGATTTTGATGGCTAAGATGTTGCAACGTAAGGCTCCATATACAATGGACAACAGGGACAAGGACATGATGATGCCTGAAGAGAGAAAAGAAAGAGCACAGTCAAACCTCACCTCCACCAGGAATCGTATGGCCAATGTTCTGCTATCTCCCACCCACAGGCCTTGAATTCCTCTGTATTACATATGCAGGCTAACTTCCACCTGTTGATATCTGAAGACTGCCTGAGGACTTTTTCCAGACTCACACAGGACTGCTATAAACATATTCCTGTTAGGCTGAAGCACTAGGGAATTAAAGAGCATGGGTGACCCCCTCAATAACTCAGTTCCACCTACAGCAAGAGCTAGTTTCCTAACCTGTTAAATAGAGTAAGTGTGTATGCCCATAAGGTTAACTTCTAGTCACCAACTGTGATTTTTATCTCATCCTTTTCCATCCCTCAGTTTTCTCTCATTACACATTCCCTTCAGTGTTGTTAGACATTCCCTTCAAATGCATGCCTCAGCTCCTTAGGGTTTGCCTCAGAGGCAATTCAGACTGAAACTTATTCCTGATGCCGATCTTGATCAATGAAAATATGAAGAGTCCTTTACAAAATGTGTTGATTTTGTCAGTTGTTCTATTAATTTCCTCTTGCCGTTTTAAAAAATACTTATTTTATTTATATGCATGACTGATTGGTGGTTCCAAAAGACGCCAGAAGGAGGCACCAGATCCTTTGGAGTTGGAGTTACAAGTACTCAAAAGCCACATGACGAGGGCAATGAGATCTGAACGCTGATCCTCTGAAATAGAATGTTTATAACTGCTGAGTACTACACCTCCAGCCCCTGATATGATGTGGGAGTGTCATATATCAATCTGTTGATTTCATTGGTTAAGCAATAAAGAAACTGCTAGGCCCATTTGATAAGCCCACCCTTAGGTGGGTGGAGTAAACAGAACAGAAGGCTGGGAGAAAGAAGCTGAGTCAGTGAGTCGCCATGATTCTCACACTCCAGACAGACGCAGGTTAAGATCATTCCTGGTAAGCCACCTCGTGGGCTACAGCAGATTATTAGAAATGGGCTAGTCCAGGTGCGAGAGCTAGCCTAGAAGAGGCTAGATAGAAATGGGCCAAGTGGTGTTTAAAAGAATACAGTTTCTGTGTAATTATTTCGGGTAAAGCTAGCCGTGGGGGCGGCCGGGTAACGGGGACACAGCCCGCCGCTCTTATTATTACTACACTGATATATCTTCTTGATGTCCCTCAGCACATCCCAGTAGTACGCACATAAATGGAAGGCACTCATTAATAATTTACTCAAGATGTTTGCTCTACCCTAGACTGTTTTAGATGCTTACTATAGAAATTCAGTTAGAGTGCTGAAAAAGGAACAAATCTTGCTCCTAAGAGTTAACCTGCTTTTAACTGAAAGATTTTTTTTTTCAAGACAGGGTTTCTCTGTGTAGCTTTGGAGTCTGTCCTGGAACTCACTCTGTAGATCAGGCTGGCCTTGCACTCACTGAGATTTGCCTGTCTCTGCTTCCCAAGGGCTGGGATTGAAGGTGTGCGCCACTACCACCCAGCAAACTAAAAGGTGTCTTTACAGATGTCTCAGATCTAGATGTTTATTTCCTAAATTGGCCTATAGTAAATGGGTAAATCCATTACTTATAAACAGTGGCAGTTTGAGATCACAGGATGTGGCCCATTTAAATGGAGCATCATATAATGTTCCACATTACTATACTATCTGCCTTGAGCTCTATTATCTAATAAATATACAACCACTAAGACTCATGGGTACAGAGTGTGGTCAAACCAGAAATGCAATGACTTATTACAGGATGCTACCACCCGCACCCATTAGCATGAGGAGGAATGAAAGGCTATGTGTAGTATGAAGGAGCGGGCTGCGTCCTGCCACCTGCTAGCTTAACCCCCTAAATAACCACAAAGAAATTGTACTAAATTAATTACTGCTTGGCCCATAAGCTCTAGCCTCTTATTGGCTAACTCTCACATCTTGATTTAACCCATTTCTAGTAATCTGTATATCACCACAAGATCGTGGCTTACCAGGAAAGATTCTAATCTATGTCTGTCTCAGGCAGGAGATTCATGGCATCTCTCTGACTCTGCTTTCTTCCTCCCAGAATTCTGTTCTGTCTTCCCCACCTACCTGAGTTCCACCCTATCAACTAGGCCAAGGCAATTTCTTTGAAAACAACAGAAATACAGAAGGGCCTCCTACACCAGCTATGAATTAGGAACCATGAATCTGGCTCTTGGTTTGATTTTTGCCACATCAATCTACACTGGGAAAATGGCAACCTCCCCATCTTCTATTTTCTCATCCATAAAATGGAAATGATAATACCTTTCATGTTGATTCTTCTTTTTTTAAAAGGTCTTGATATATTCTTATTTATTTTAGAGCAGCTTTAGGTTCGTGGCAAAATTGAACAGAAGGAACAAAGAGTTCCCCAAAACCTTCAACCCACACAGATGCCCAGTCTCAATCATTATCTTTATCACCCTGCAGAACAGTGCATACACCACAACTGATGAACCTATACAGACACATCGTTATCACTGAAAGTGCAGTTAACATTAGGTCTTACTCTTGTACATCCTATAGATTTGGGTAAATTCATAATACATGCCTCAGACATTGTAGAGAGGTCTCATTGCCCTAAATATCGTCAATTCTTTGTACAGTTATCCTTCCATCCTCTGAACTGATCTTTTTACTGCATTCATAGTTTCTACATTTTCCAGAAAGTCATATGATTGGAATCACATATTATGTTGGATTTTCAGATTAATTTCTTTCACTAGTTATGTTTTCTCTACTATATAGATATCAAGTGAGCTTGACAGCTCACTTATTTTTAGTGGAGAATAATATTCCATTATCTAGTATGCTAGTTTATTCAACTATCAACTCAAGCATATTTTGGTTATTTCTAAGTCATAGCAATTATAAATAATGTTACTATAAGTACCCACATGCAGGCTTTGGTGTGGGCATCAAATTTTCATCTCCTTTAGAAGAAATACAAATGTAGTGACTGCTGGATCACAGTGGTGATCTCATTTTGTATTTCAACCGAAAATGAAAGAGAATGCATCTGTTTCTCTGGAGCCCCAGCAGCATCTGGGGTTGTCAATGTTCTGAATAGTAGCTAGTATACCTAAAGTGTGCTGGAATATAAAATTTTAATTGAAAGAAAACTGAAATTATCAATTCTTTTTTCTTTATGATATTACATTTACAAACCCATCACCAAACCTCAGACCCTTGAGATTCTCCCATACTATCTTCTAACATTTATACCATTTTATACTTTACATTTAGGTTTGTTACCTATTTTGAGTTTATAAAGAGTGAAAGTTCTGTGTTTAGTCACATTTTGCAGCTATTCTATGGGTGTATTTTATGGAAAATATGCAGTTATTCTAGGAGCAATTGTTGAAAATATTATTTTCCTATTGTATAGTCAGTCTTTGCTCTTTTGTTGAAGATCAAATAATGTAGAGTCTAAGGGGATATATTTCTGGATATTATATTCAGTTCAACTGATCTATTATGCTACTCTTTTACCATTACTATATCTCCTTAAGTACAATACCCATACCTGCCTCTTAGAATGCACATCATTTATTTCCACATATGTACTAAAATTACCTCTATCTAAATGATACATAAAGGAAGGTAGTGAGATTTCTCAGTAGGTAAGGATGCATACTGCTAAACCTGACAACCTGAGTTTGACTCCTGGGACCCTTACAGTTGAAAAAAAAAACCCAACTTTGTCCAAGTTGTCCTCTGACCTACATATACATATCACAGCATGAATGTGAATATACACATACACACAAAAAATTAATTGAAATGATACATGACAAGAAAGTTCTCCTTAAATTCTGAGTTCATATATATATATATATATATATATATAATTTTAATTAGATGGACCTAAAGACTCATATGCCTTAGTTTTTAATTTCCCAAAAGAAGCTTAATTTTACTGAAAGTATCAATTTTATTCAGTTTTTGAGACTGGTTTTAGTTACTATCATTCACTGGAAAGACTGACATCTACTAATAATATGTAAAAACTACAAACTTTTCATAATCATAACAGACTAGGAATTAATTGGACTGAGTTATTTATCTTGACAGGCTAGTACAGTTAACATTGTAATGTCAAATATTCATGAAGAAATTTCCATATGTATGGTTATAGATTCCCACATCCTAAGGATCTACTATTGAAGCCTTTTCTTTTACTACTTAACATTTTCCACTATAAAATACTATATATGCAAAAAAGCTAGTCATCATAGTTATAATGTAAATTATACAATTCTACATATAGTTATTTATGTTAAATTTATGATATTTTATCTGAAATATGCATTGTAATAAACAAGATAAGAATTCTAATAATTTCCTGAATCTACTATATGTTATTTCTCTGTTATGTAATTGCTGTCTGAAGACTCCAACTTTTGTTTGTTTGTTTTGTTTGTTTTTTATTGATTTTTACTAAGCTGTACATTTTCCTCTGCTCCCCTCCCTGCCTCTCTCCTCCCTTCAACTCTTCCCCAAGGTCCCCCATGCTCCCAATTTACTCAGAAGGTCTTGTCTTTTTCTACTTTCTACTTCCCATGTAGATTAGATCTATGTAAGTCTGTCTTAGTGTCCTCATTGTTGTCTAAGTTCTCTGGGATTGTGGTTTGTAGGCTGGTTTTCTTTGTTTTATTTTTAAAAATCACCTATGTGTGAGTACATGTGATAATTGTCTTTCTGTGTCTGGGTTACCTCACTCAAAATAATGTTTTTTAGCTCCATCCATTTTCCTGCAAAATTCAAGATTTCATTATTTTTTCTGCTGTGTAGTACTCTATTGTGTAAATGTACCACATTTTCCTTATCCATTCTTCAGTCGAGGGGCATTCAGGTTGTTTCCAGGTTCTGGATATGACAAACAAAGCTGCTATGAACATAGCTGAGAACGTGAAGACAACAAATTTTCAGTCAAACCACTGAACTCATGAAATGCTTAGGTCAAACAGACTTT